CCCCCTCCTTCCCTTTCCATATCCACAGTGTCATACTATGGGTCTAATAGGTTGGTGGTTTTCTAATAAATTTAACCTCAGCATCAATTAAAATGCTTTGGCACACAAGGAAGGGAGAGGTGGGCTCCTGAGGACGTTCATCATAGAAAGCACATTGAGATTGGATTTTCGTTAGCTGTGAAATTAAATACTCTGAAGCCGCTTTTTCACCCTGACAACTACGCGTATGCATCAGTGTGAGGTCTCACCCTGCCCCTACCATGCATGTGCTGGGGAGGAAAGCCCATTTCCTCACAAACCTTTCAGAGGATGGCCCAAAAAAGGGAGAAGTTGAGCTCCAACCTTTTCTGCTTGCTTGTGAAGGAGAAATCGCAGTAGGGAACTTTTCTGCAGTGTCCCATCAGCTCTGCCTGCTCCCTTTACTTAAAGCCTTAGATCCCTTGCATCCAGCTGACTGTCTTCCACTAAAGCCAAGATCTGCCATCGCTACTTTTTCCTAAGATAAAATGACTTACAAGATCTTAAACAAAAGCTGAACACAAGCCCCATTTATTTTGTTATTCTTTGTGAGTCACTGCATAGTATGATGAGGATTTGAGGCTAGGGACAAGATTTGCATGGGGCAGGTGAAGAAAAGTTGTGAAGTGTTTCCCTTTTTCCTGCTAGGGATTTCCTGCACTTGTGCCCAGCAAGTCAGGATTGTCAGTGAAAATCTCAAGGAATAATCCAAGTCTCCACTGGGCACTGAATTAAGGGAGAGATTCAGCCTGAACCCTGGGTGTGGGAGCCCTTGGAGTGCTTGCGAGGGGCTCACATGGCAGGGTCAGTATCAGGTATCCAGGAATGTCCTTCTATTGAAATGTTTGATCTCATAAAGGGCAGAAACAATCATCTCCCACCCCCGGTGCTGCTGTAACTCCCCTCCTAAATGATTTTGTAATTTATGTGTAATCACGCAGCGTATACTCGGTGCCCAGAGCCTGGCTTGCACTGGGCTGTAACCTCGCAGGAGCGCAGCAGTCAGGCTGGTTTCTGCAGGCTGCCCTTGCAGAGGGAGCACACCCAAGTCATGGGTCCAGGGGCTACCCAGCACCCTGAACAGATGTCAGCTTTGTTATTGCTTTAATATCTGCTGAAAGATGGGCCCAGCACACACCCAGGTGAGGAGGGACAGCTTAAAGCTGCCTGGCTTCACCGCTGTGCTGGTGCCTCTGTCTGGGATTCATGGGCTCTGCTCAGGCTCCCTTCGATCCGCTTTCCCAAGCTCCCAGGGAGAAAATGGGAAAGACAACCCTGGCTGGACACCTGCACGTCCTAGTGCCTCGGCCAGGCAGGCAGGGAGGAGCTTCCTGGAGCTGCAGGTGCCATCAGTCATGCTGAGGACACAGGGAGGGGACGGTCACCTTCAACATAAACCTGCAAGGGAATGCTTGCGAGCAGGTGATGAGCTGAGCAAACTGAGTTACTCCGGGATGCTCTTAGTGGGGTGCACGTGCACAAAGGTCGAAGTGGATTGCTTCCCTGAGTATCCAGTGCAGGCTGAGGACTGGTGTACAGCTTCCCAAGTTAATATCAGTTGAGATAAACTGTTTTCCCTCTAAGCAGAGCTCAGCATGGATCTTGGCTTGTGGCTGCTCAGCTCAGACTCCAACCTTGGGTGACCTGGTAGTTTTGTAGTGTGGACATTTACGGGATTGCCAGGGAGTGTGCACTCTGCCCAGAGTGGCTGGAGGTCACAGTGACTCCCCATACCCTTCCCATGATCAGCATCTGCTCGCCGGGGCCATGTCGACAGCGCGTGGTCCTCTGCGCTGCCACGGGGCAAGGTGAAAAGGGAGAGGGTAGGAGGGGGTGTAGGCGAGCACCTTGTGTCTTATGTTTGCTAAGAAAAGCGAACTGATGCAGCTGAACTATATCACGCAGATGAGGACATTAGAATGTGTCAGAGGGCCAAGGCTACCCCAGTGCCAAAGCAGAACTGAGAGCGCAACGTCCACCAGCCAGGAGAGCGTAAGGACAAGCAGGGGAGTGGGCACCTGCAGAGTGTGTGCTGGGCTGGCAAGAAGCCCTCCACACCAGGTTGCTGCTCTGACACCAATACTATATTATTTAAAGTAGGAAGTCTCCAGGATGCAAATGTTAATATTTTCCTTACATATTTTACCAGACAATTATTAAGAGAGGTTGAATTTTTAAGGCCGAACATCAAAACTGTGTGTACATAAATGCAAGTAATGATGTATGAGAAGTTTCCATACTACACCTGTATCTACTGGTAGCAAGACAAGGGGACATCTGCTGTGTTCAAGAAGCAAATTAGCTGTGTGCCTGTCAGCCTGCCTGGACAATCACACTGCTTGCTGCTTTTTCCCAAGGGTGCATGCATATCAAACCCTAAGGGCTAGCAGTCTCTTCCAAACCAGCAGATAATTGCCAGGGTTTAGATTCTTAGTAAAACACAGGCTGTTGTTAAATGTGCCTTGTTTTGCACAACAAAAGATTGGAAAAATCCCAGGTGTGGTGGCCATTTCTCTGAAGTGAAATACAGTACCAGGAAACCCAAACAGAAGGGGTTAGACCTCTTGGCTGTCCATGTTTGCCTTCACGATGTCCACGCAGTGCCACAGACAAGACTTTCCAGACCCAGGCAGGAGGACGGGGCATTGAAAACCAGTGTGGTACCTCTTCCTCATCGCTAAAAGCCAAAAGATGATCTGGGGAAGAAGGCAAGCGTGCTGCACAGCTTCCTGAGAGCCTCTGTCAGTTTAGCAGGATGATGTAACTGGAACTTAATTTAAAATCCCATTTCCATCAAGATGTCAAACCAGTAGCCTGGGTGAAACATGTCTCAAGGATGTGGGAGTCTGCCAGCAGCACAAGGGCTTTGGCCATGTCTACTAGAGCGAGCGGCTGAAAGCTGGCTTGCTGCCGCTCCTTCCGTCTTCAGTGCCCGACACCTTTCTGTGCAGCACACAATTGCTGGGACTGTTTTGCACAGACCAGTTCTCTTGCTTTCCACTGTGTCTGTTCATAAGGAGAGCAGGAACCATCCAGAAGCTGGACAGAGTGAATGGAGAACCATGGATGACCACTGCAGCTCCCATTAGCTGAATTAACCAGATCCTGCCTGCCCTGCAGAGCCAGCTCCATTGTACTCATGGTAGGTAGGCACTGACCGTAAGAATATTTGATTGTTTAACATCAAATGCTTGAGATACTCCAACTTGCTGCTTTTCAGTGAGCCTATGTGAGCTGTAAACATCCCATAGGTTGTGTGCCCACCTAACCCAAGAAAGACATGAAGTAGGCCGGAGGAACCACGGTCCATGGGTGTTTGGCTGTATGGGGCAGTATCCCAGAGAATGAAAAACTGTTGGCAGGATCTCTTGGCAGTTTAATGCCAATTAGTGTCTTAAAATACATTTACACTCAAAGCTAATTTACTTGTTACTTGAAGTAATTAGCTCCATCTGTCTGAGCGCAGCCTTGGGTGTGAGGCGGGCATTTTCACCTGGGTACAGATGAGGAGGAGAGTTGCTCTGTTTGTGAAGTCCATGTCGGCAAAACACATGGAAAGAAAGGCTCTGTCTCCCATGGCTCTTGGCCCGTGCTATAGTTTCTGAGCCACCTCATGGCAGTTAGAGGTCAGGCAGGGATCTGTGCTCGGGATATTATTGTTATTCCCCTCCTCCCCATAAGGCCAAACCTGTTCCCTGTTCCAGCTCACAGTATGCCCCTATGAAGACTAGGCTATGGGGCAGGAATAAAGAGCCTGTTGCCACTTGTGAGGGTTAAACCATGCTGTGGCTGGCCCCAGCCGCCTTCCCTTCCCCTCCCCAGCCCCTGCTCCCTGGCCAGGCACCGTTTTCAGTTCTCCCGTAGCGTGCAGGTAGAGACCTTGGGGAAAGAGGCAGGAGCACGGCATGCATTAAACATCCCAGCAAGCAAGCTAACAGCTATTGAAACATATAATTAAACCATTATTTTCTTTCACCGCCTCTCTCTTTTTTTGCTTCACTTGAACAAAATACTTTTCCATTTATTTGTTATCAGTGATGGGAGTGAATATACTGAAACACGTCTGCTGTTCTGCTCTGCTACCCCCTATTAACTTCCTAAGCACTTGGGAACCTTTGGCTCAGCTGCACGAAATAACAGGGAAACTAATTAGGCCGATAAAACTTGATGATTGAGCCAGGCACCCCGAGAAAGGGAATGACTTTTACTACTGGTTTTTTTATAATACATATATTCACCCTCAAGTTCTTTACTGCTGGCAGCATAGATCAGATTGGGTTACAGCTGAAGAAGGAAGGTCCCAGCCCGGAGCAGTGATGATCAGGGTGACAATTCCTTTTTGTCCCCAGCTGTAGGGTTTCCTGAGCTGGTGTTTGATGAGCGGCTTGTGCAAGTCTCCTGGTCAGCTCGGGGCCTTCTCAGCACTCACAGTGCACGTTGCACTGTAGAGGCAATTAATATGCCGCCGGGATGGCACATGAGTAGGTCTTGGCTGCATTGCAAAGAGAGTTTGAGCCAAGTCTCTCGGCTGATGTGGACACAGGGACAGGCAGAGGCACACAAAGGACGGGGCAAGGCTGGAGGAGGCAGGGGACTTTGCAGAACACGAAGCCTCCAGCTCCGAACAGCCGGCCCCCATGTCCAAACGCGCAGTGCCTGCTGCAGTCAGCATATGGCCGAGCCTTGCAAAGAAAATTTAGATCCAAAGGCTAATGCTAATCAGTAAAATCTGTAATTGGAGAAATGGTAATCAAGTGAGATTACCAGCCTGATCCTATTATAGGCCCCTTGCCCAGCTGGTTAGGGCAGTGCTGCACACAGCGTTCACATACCTCCTGCAGCGGTGGGACTGGGGGTTTGCTTGCTGCTGGCTTCTTGTACCACCCTGCCAGGAGCCTGGTGCAGAGCTGTCCTCCCTGGGAACCAGGGAAGCTGGGCACTCCTCACTTCACTCTCACTTGTATTTATATCTTCCTTTGCAGATGGGAAATGCGTCCAACGCCTCTGTGTTCATCTCCACCTTATCGGAGAGAGAAGACCTGATTTTTGGCACGCTCTATTTAGTCTTTGGTAAGGAAAGACGTACCTGTGTCCCTGCTGCAGGCAGCCCAGGTGCCTGCTTTCCAGGGACGTTCAGGCCTTTTGCAGTCACTGATGCTTCCTGAAGTGTTCAGTCATTAGCAGAATAACCACAATGGCCTTTCCCACATTCGTCCTCCCCACGTTATTCAAAAGGATGATCTGGCTGAAGCTTGGTGACTGCATTCCCCTCTCAGGGGAACTGCAAGTACCAGTTATGTTTTTAAATATTTGGAAGGCTGAAGAACAAACTTTGAGAAACATGCTGTAACTCCTACCACAGCCACCCGATGTGAGATAGATTGGGACTCTGTTGGCATTGCCAGCTTCGTGGCTGTCGAAGGTGATGGCTCTTGCTTTCATCAGAAGATGCTGATGAATGTCCTGTGATTTGGACCCAGTTGCACCAGAAACTGAGGGGCTGGGATGTGCTGTGAGGTGGCCTAGGCCTGGTTGGTGTGGGCCAGAGGTGAATGGTGGGCAGATAAAAAAACCTTCCAGTTATTTGAGCCTTGAGCAAGTTGTCTCCCATACGCTCTAAGAGTTTTTCATGCCCATGAGGATGGGGAACCCAAGGGATGCTCATGCC